TCTTATTTCACGTTTTGAAGGATTTTAGTTTTAACTATATAGTTTTAGAAAAAAAAAATCAGTAGATATAGAGATACAAGCTAAAACATTCTTTCATGTATGAAAAAGAGGAAAAAATAACTAATTTCTAAAAAAAATGGGCGTCAAACTCTAGTATATAAGTGTGGTAATGAGAACAAGTACAATTCACTTTGCTTATTCTAAGCGAAGTAACACTCTTTTTTCTTATTTCACGTTTTGAAGGATTTTAATTTTAACTATATAGTTTTAGAAAAAAAAAATCAGTAAATATAGAGGTACAAGATAAAACATTCTTTCCTATATGAAAAAAGAGGAAAAAATAACTAAATTCTAAAAAAATAGGCGTCAGACTCTAGTACTAAGCAAAGTAACTTTCTTTCTTCTTATTTCACATTTTGAAGGATTTTAGTTTTAACTATATAGTTTTAGAATTTTTCTATAAAAAAAACGCGTCAAACTCTAGTATATAAGTGTGGTAACAAGAACAAGTACAGTTCACTTTGTTCATTCTAAGCGAAGTAATTTTCTTTCTTCTTATTTCACGTTCTGAATTTTTACTTATACACCAAAACTATGTCTATATTTTTCAACTCTTTTTTTTCTTGTTATTCGAGATTGTAATTTATAACATACTTGTATTTTCTTAAATTTTGTCAACTATGAATAGAGTTGTATGAATTGAGTGTCTTGTGTTGAAAACTTCATTGTATGACTGGAAATTAATACCAATGCACAAGGCATATTATGAGTCTTTTTTTTGCTAGATTAATTATGACATGTAATATAATTTTATTGCTTTTTTGTGATTATGCTTATTAAGTATATATAATATATATTTTAAACCAAATATAAAATCAACACTTTCTTTTATTTACAATTTATATATATTAGACTTTGCACACTTCTTACCGTAGTCCATAGCGGCATAGCCTCATTAGAAAGAGACATACAAAATCAAATCACTTTTACTAATAATGATTGTGGTGAAATGGTAAGTACTCTTTCATCTTTAACTAGATGTCTTTGGTTCAAATCTTCTTGGTATTTGTTAAGAAGGTTTTTTTTTAACAATGACCCCCTTTGCTAATCGGACTTCAATTGGGGGGCCTACATGAAGTTCATGTTCGAACCCCCTTTGTCGGAAAATTACATTGTATATATAAGATCGATTTATTGATTTATGTGTATATGTTTAGCAATGACCCCACTCAACATAAGTTAAAGGCTTGGTTCAGTGATAAAGTGGGATCAAGATTCTGCCAAATCTTTTCGACTTTGCGAGTTCAAGTTCGGGTAGTTTTTTTTGTTTTTTTTTTTAAAATCACATTTTAACTTGTTGCTGTTATTTCCTATGTTTTATCACAAAGCTTGCTGCTGCTACTACTACTTTTCATGTTTATTTTAGCTTGTTGCTGTTACTTCCAAAAAATAAAATCAATACTTTCTTTTATTTTTATTTGGGATAAGGGTCTGAAAAATATTCCAATTTTGGTCGGATTTGTTGTTGCGATACTAAACTTTCATAAGGACCTATTACCTCCCTAGACTATTTAATACCGTATTTTTTACCCCTGAACTATTTAATAGTGTATTTTAAAGGTATATATGTGCTCACGTGGACACATTACTATTTATAATTTTGCATTATTTTCTATGTCCGCGTGGGCAAATATATATGTTTAAAATACGGTATTAAATAGTATAGGGAGGTAATAGGTCTTCATGAAAGTTTAGTATCGCAACAGCAAATCCGACCAAAGTTAAGGTATTTTTCATACCCTTATCCCTTTTTATTTTATATATATTAGACCTTGCACATTTCTTATCATAGCGAGAAGTTTAATTAGAAAGAGAGCCATACAAAAGGATTCTAGTTTTGAATATATATATATATATATATGTTGACATTTTTAGAATTATTTGTTTAAAATTAAGCATATATGAAGGTAGAAGTAGAAGGCGAAACATTTCTTATAATTCTTTCCTATAAAAAAAAAGAGAAAACAATTACTACTAGTTTTTAAAAAAGTTTGTTAAACTCTAGTATATAAGTAGGATAAGAGAACAAGTACAGTTCATTTTGATCGTTCTAAGCCAACTAACTTATTTTCTTTTTTAAAATTTTGAATTTCTACTTATACACTCAAATAATGTCTATATTTTTTTAAATTTTTTTTCTTGTTATTCGAGTTTGTAATTTATAGTATACTTATATTTTCTTGAATTTTGTCATCTATAGAAATAGAGTTGTGAGAATTTGAGTGTCTTGTGTTGAAAACTTCGTATACTAATACACAAGGCATATTATGAATCATTTTCTCTTGCTAGATTAATTATGAATATTTTTGTAATTATGCATAGTAATTATATATAATATAATTTTTTAAGTATAACTTACATAAATCCCATAGTGTAAGACCCTAAATTATAACTTATCCCTACTCTTTTCTATTTTACAAATATCCCTTAAAATATTAATCATCAGGACACATTAATTGCGATACATTATAAAACTTGTGTGTTGAGCTTAATATGGAATATTAATGTAAAATTGATATTTCCCCATAAATCACGCATAACTGATTTTCTTTCCCACAAATCACGCAGAACTTATTCATATCAACCAATTCAAATCTGTAACAGCTTCACAAAATTTAAAAAATCAAATTTTCATCTTCTCCATCAATTCGAAATCTTGAATCTCAAATCCGCCACTGTAGATGATTGGACAAACGATTCACGATTTCAAATCATCAATTCGAAATCGTCGAGTATAAGAAATCGTCGAATATAAGAAATCGTTCAAAGCATAACAAAGAAACAGAAACTTCTTTTGAGTGGTTTTAGCAAATGGGTTGCTACTATTTCCAAGAAATAAGTTTATAAGTTCAATTCTTGAAGAAAGAGATGGAGATACTGCTACAGATGACATTCGGCACTGAAACATGGTCATTCTTTGTGGCACATGAAGTATAAAACAGGTGCTTCAATTACCCAATTTAATGAAGTGAAGTTGAAGAAGGGATTGTTGGTACAATAAATATGGAGAAACAAATTGAGTCCTAACAGAATCAACAAATTCAAAATTCTAATTTCTTCTCCTTGTTCATCGAAGAATCTTTTAAATTTATCCTCAAATTGTACTAATACAACATGAACCTATCAATCTTGTTGAGAAATTTCGAAATCTGAGAAAGTAAGGTGAGGTATGAACGATACAAAAGTGATAGAATTGTTGTTGGTCAAAACTTAGTTTTGTGAATCTCAAATCAGTCATTGCAGTTGAGTTAGAGATCGTGAGTTGAGGAAAAATTTGAAGATCCGATACATCATTGAGGTGAAGAAACAAAAGACTAAAATTTCAATGTATCCGCTATGTATTGATACAACAGACAAAAAGGCCGAAGAGATACATAATTTTGATGGATCATCCATACCTTTTATAATGTTGTGTAATTGTTTTTTGATTTGCGTTTTCGAGATGGATAGATTTATCAATACACTATATATGTATCTTGTTAAATTGATAAATATTGTCTTTCTACTAGATACATAAATAAGTAATTGTTGCTTATAAGATGTTACGTTTGAAATCGATACATTACTATGTGAATTGTGATAGTTGTCATGTATTAGATATATTTAGTATAAATTTGAATTTACGTATCATGTCAAAAAATTAGTGCATGATACATTACTATTTATGTATTTTATTTTGTTTGAGAAACACTGTAGTTTATAAAAAAGATACATACATGTAATTGTTCCCAATAACATTTTTTGTGTGATACATAACACAATAGTGAGTTGATATGTATGTGATACATATAATGAAGTTTGAAAACTGTTGAATTTGATAAATATTATGTATCATGTACATATTTGATACATGACATTTTATCTATAGAATATTAAGGTTTATGTAGCAAGTGTATTTATTGGGTAATGTGTACAGTCACATAATCTTCTAATTTAAAAAAGTCTGAACGAAAATTAAAGACTGCAAATACATAACAACAATTGATATGTGGTATATTATTCAATTTGTAATAATTATGTATCAGATAATAATTAAAGACATGAGACACACATGTTTAGATATGAAAATAAACTAGAACCTATATGTATTAGAAAAAAGATTAACAACAAAAAATATAATGTATCAGATTGTTGCTGCATTTTAAAGAAAGTATCGCATCTTCATAAACACGACCAATATCGATAATGTATCAAATTGTTGCTGCATTTGTGAGAGTCCATTGGGTGCACAGTAAAAACCTTGTCAATACATTGGCATAACAAGTCCACCAGTACTGGCATTTGAAGTAGGAGGGGATGGACCACAATATCTCATATTACCTCCAAGATTAAGGGAAAAAAAATGCAGACCACTTTGGAATGTTGAGCCAGAATGTCCTGGCTATGCAAAATGGGTACTTAGATCCGTGAAAGATCCACCAACAACAGCAGGTAAATTTGCCGATGTGGTAGGTGGTCGATGATAGTTAGACTGAAAGGTTGGTTATGAGGATTGATGATGAAAAAAAAAAGGCAAACAGAAAGTTGGAGAAGATGAAGAATGTTATTTCAGTGTTGAATTCAAATTGATTGGAGAGAGAACGATTTTGAATTTCAAATTGTAATGAAAGAATTAATTGATAAGATTGCGGGAGGGAAAATAGGGAGATATTAATGGAGTGAAATAAGGAAGAGAAAATGTGGGTTTTAGGAGTGTGAAGTTATGTATCGGCTGTTGGATTTTTGGAAGTAAAATAAGGGATTTTGATAATATTTTAGAATGATAGGGAATAATGGAAATTATGAAAAATAAAGGTGTATAGATTGGTAATTTTTCCAATTTTTAACCATAAACAAAATCAATACTCTTTTTTATTATAGTATTTTACTTAAATATATTAAACGTTATACAAAATCACTTTTACTCGAAAAGAAGAAATTAGGGTGAGAAGTGAAAATTTGGAAATAATTGGGGGTTCGGCAATCTTTATAAATACTACTCCAAATACCCCCAAAGATGGATTTTACAGCATTCCACCATCCCCTCTCTCCGGCGCCGATCTCATCCGCACTAATTTTCACGTACAAATCTTGGCGATAATTTAGGGATTCGAGGATCAAATTTTCACGTCTCACTGTATGAAAGTTCGGATTTAATTCAGCCAGATGAGTATTGAGCCATTCAATAGGTAAACTTCGTATTATGCCTGGGGTAACTTCAATATTGTCGCGATTACGAGGTGATTTAGAAACTGTTCTTTATTCTTCTGATGAAGAATGGGAATTACTAGATAGTTCGTCACCACTTCGACCTAATTCCAAGAATTTTCCTGGAACTATTTTTTCTTTATCAGACTTTGCTTCAACTATCTCAACAAAATTAAACAATATATACTTAAATTCAACTATCTCAACAAAATTAAACAATATATACTTAAATTATACATTTGAATAGTTCTAAATTTGTTTATCTATTCTAAATAAGTATATATACATGTGTATTTTGAGTTATTGAAATCTGTTGTTGTTGTTGCATGAGTGTAGCAAGATGCATCTGAAGTTTTTCATTGTCTTCCCTATTTGTTCATTTTCGGTTTCTTGTTATGTGGATTTATTTATTGGATAGGTTGGTGAAACTTGCGGCAAGAGCTTTCTATGATGACATTACAACTAAAGGCGACAATCAGCCCAAGTCTGGCAGAAGTGACAATCGAGGAATTGCAGTGGTGATTCTTGACGCACTCACAAGGTTATCAGAGGAAAAAATACGATGTTATTTGTGTAGTTATTTCTTACTTCTTCAGTCTGTTTTTAACTTAGAAACTTTATTTAGATATTTTCAAGAATTACATGCATAGTTTGTGCACAATTCACCCACACATCCACAACCTCATTGTATTTCAAGAATTGCATGTTTAGTTCATGAACAATTCACCCACACACCCACAAACTGCATTGTATTTTCAAGAATTGCTTGCTTTGTTTGTGCACAATTCACCCACACACCCACAAACTGCATTGTATTTTCAAAAATTGCATGTTTAGTTCATGAACAATTCACCCACACACCCACAAACTGCATTGTATTTTCAAGAGTTGCTTGCTTAGTTGTGCACAATTCACCTACACACCCACAAACTGCATTGTATTTCAAGAATTGCATGTTTAGTTCATGAACAATTCACCCACACACCCACACACCCACAAACTGCATTGTATTTTCAAGAATTGCTTGCTTAGTATGTGCACAATTCACCCACAAACCCACAAACTGCATTGTATTTTCAAAAATTGCATGTTTAGTTCATGAACAATTCACCCACACACCCACAAACTGCATTGTATTTTCAAGAGTTGCTTGCTTAGTTTGTGCACAATTCACCCACACACCCACAAACTGCATTGTATATCAAGAATTGCATGTTTAGTTCATGAACAATTCACCCACACACCCACAAACTGCATTGTATTTTCAAGAATTGCTTGCTTAGTTTGTGCACAATTCACCTACACACCCACAAATTGCATTGTATTTTAAAAAAAATTGCATAGTTTATTTGTGTAGTTATTTCTTACTTCTTCAGTCTGTTTTTAACTTAGAAACTTTGTTTAGATATTTTCAAGAATTGCATGCATAGTTTGTGCACAATTCACCCACACACCCACAAACTGCATTGTATTTCTAGAATTGCATGTTTAGTTCATGAAAAATTCCCACACACCCACAAACTGCATTGTATTTTCAAGAATTGCTTGCTTAGTTTGTGCACATTCACCCACACACCTACAAACTGCATTGTATTTTCAAAAAAAATTGCATGCTTAGTTTGTTCACAATTCACTAACACACCCACAAACTTCATTGTATTTTCAAGAATTGCATGCTTAAAAATCATTATTTCAGGCGGCAATGGGTGAGGGAAGAAGACTTGGCAAAGGACTTGAAGTTGCACACGAAACAATTACGCCGCACCTTGCGGTTCTTTGAAGAAGAAAAGCTCATCACACGGGACCATAGGAAGGAGGTTGGTTTTATGCTCTATTGCATAAAGATGATACCCGCTGCCCTTTTTCATTTACCTAGGATATTATTTTGGAAGATTTAGCCCTCTTGCTAACTTTAAGAAGGTTTAGTTTCAACATTGAGAGTGTTCCAGTCTTTAGATATCTGAAGCAGCTTCATCTGTTTCCTTAACTTAGCAATTGGTTCCCTTTTATACAAATTCCTCCTAAGTAAAGAGGAAGATGTGAGAAATTTGCTGTTTGGTAACCACATGGCTGTAAGGTGCACACTAAGCTGTGTCTCTTTATTCCATTTTGAAAATATGGTAGATCTTTGATGTAATTAATTCAAACAATATCTTATCTAAAAAATATGAAATTGTTACATAATTTTCTTTGGTTACCTACCAACACAAACAAACAATAAGGAAACCAAGGGTGAAGCTCAGTCTTACGTAGCTCATCTATTTGCTTAATCTAGCCAAAAAAAAAAATCACATTTTGTTATTATGAACCATGAAAAAGATGAATCCTATTTTGTAATTACCTTATGCATTAGTACGTTCTTCTACATGAGAATACTCTTTCAAGTTGATTTTTCTAGGAAATTCTATTTCTTCTTTGGTACCATGGTCCATGGTTCAAAACATTGAGACCTGTTAGGCAAATGCATTATGACAACAAGGAATAGGAAAGTTTTCAGTTACAAATACAAAGTAGCAGCATTTTGTCTTCTGTGTGTGCTCATATTTTTTTAACCTCAGCCCTCATTAACTTAATTGTATTGTGGGACAAACTAATGGCGTTTTAATGAATGCTTATGTATCCTCCTCCTTTTACAAAAGATGGTGGGTGGAAGGGGGTGATTTGGCGGCATATTCTCCCCGCCCCCCTGCCTGCCCTTATTAACTAGTTGCTAATGTGCAACCAAGTATACCCTCCTTCTGTGCCAAAAAATGATGGGTGAGAAGGGGGCGATTCAATTGTATATTCGTCTGTTATTATCACATACTACTAACATCAGATTTTGCCTGCAATTTCTGTGCTAAATAATCTGTCATTCGTTCTTTAACAATCTTCTGTTACAGGGAGCAAAGGGTGCTAAAGTATACAATTCTGCAGTTGCAGCTACTGTTGATGGCCTGCAGAATGGGAAAGAAGGAGATGACAAAATAAAGATGCATACTCATTCTTATTGCTGCCTGGACTATGCACAGGTTCCCACCCCAAATCCCTTATTTACCAACTTCGTGTAGATTTATTGAAGTATTCTGATACTTCTAGTCATAGCATTTCCCAACTTGACTGATAGACAAACAACCAAGAGACATGAGAGACTTAAGTAATCTATAGTAACAAACACTTTTGCTTATTATGGTACTAGCACAAGCATTGATTGTTGAGCAGGGATAACTTCTCATTCATCTTGATATCATTGATATTTAACTAAATTGGTACTTTCATGGAAGTTAAAGATTCAAGGGGCATTTCAAATTCTGCAGATATATGATGTCGTGAGGTACAGACTGCACCGAATGAAGAAAAAGTTAAGAGATGAGCTGGATAACAAAAACACAGTGCAGGAGTATATTTGTCCCAACTGTGGGAAAAGGTTCTGCCTTCAATACTGCTGCTAGGTTTTGGCGTTTTGATAGGTATGCATCTCATGACAAACTCAGGATTTACCTTAAATATGCGAATTCAGATATACTGCGTTGGATGCGTTGCGGCTGATCTCTCCTGTGGATGAGTACTTCCACTGTGAAAGTTGCAATGGGGAACTAGTGGCAGAGAGCGACAAGCTAGCTTCTCAAGGGACCACCGATGGGGATGACAATGATAGGAGACGCCGCCGCGAAAAGTTGGAAGACATGCTTCATAGGGTGGAGGTTTGTCTTCTTTCTGTGTTATGTTTTAGGGTGTTATATTTTTTTTCTCGTTGGAGGTTGATATATAAGGTGCTCTCTCTTTTAAATTATATTCATCTCATTTGGTCATGTCATACTGCTGGCTCTCGGGTTGGGGTGTTTAGTGTTCAGAACGTGATAAATGAAGCAAGAGCAAGAGCGAGACTGAGAGAGCATAGTGCAGTGGGTTTTTAAGCGTCTTATTGCTCCAGGTCCTTAGGTGGATATATACACATATACACAAAAAGAAGTCAGTGAACTGTTTTGGCATTTGAATCTATACATCTTTGCTAGTTTGCTCTTGTTACTTCATACATTTTCAATGTCCACAGTTACTAAATTATGCTGTTTGCTTTAACTTATGTTCATCTATAAAAAGCTTATGTTTATCTTAAAGAAACTTATGTTCATCTTACACTTTTCATTTAAATATGTTCATTGCTTTGTTGTCTTGCATGTTTTCAAGATGAATGTGGACTTAATAATTTATATGTTGACTTAACACATCAGCTTTCAGCTTTTTATATTCTTGGTTTGGTTGGTAACAGAGAGTCCTTAGGTATATAATATGGGAGTTTGACCTGCATATTGATGCCTAATGGATATTCTCCCGTTCAGGGGTATCCTCTCTACTCAATTTTTTGGCACACCTATTACTAACTACATCAATAGATGTGTTCTCTTTGATTCTGAACTTCTTTTGAACAAAGAATTGTGCTTGCTGTTTCCCATATCAAAAAACCAATTTTGTTCTCACAATTATGATATACTCCCGATGTTCCATTTTATATGGCACTCAGTGCTTCTTTAGTTTGTTAAAAAATGGCACTTTCCATATTTGGGAACTCTTTTAACTTAAAACTTCTAATTCTACCCTTAATGGCATGCCTAATGTCATGGGATGTTTGAAATGTACTTTTTCTTTATCAAAAAGTTTTTTAAGTGTACGGTTGGTATGTGTCAAACGTTTTTCTTTCTTAAAGCCTTGGTGCACCCATGAGATCCCTGGGATAGAAAAATGAGATAGAACACCATATTGTTGTGTAGGCTCTCTACTTTTTTCTTTTGGTGTACCTGCATACAGGAGACTTTCCTAATTTAATGAAATCACTCTACTTCATTAAATTTTTTTTGGAGTGAGTGCAATTTGAAGCTATCTATTCTTTTTGCTATCACTGTTAGTGGAGGGATTTATATACACCGCCTCTTGTCCCTTATCTCTTTTTGGCGCACCCATGAAATCTCTAGAACTCTAGAAGCATTGAAGATTGGGTGTTGTAAGATTGACTTGACCAAGACCTATAGTTGCTTTGTATTTTAGGTAAACTTCATGCTTAAATTTTAATACGATCATGCTTCTTTGTTCTAAATGAGATAAGGGCATTTTGTGCTCTTTTTTAAAGTATGTAATCTGATTACTTTACTTGATTAAAAAAAGTATATAATCTGATTACTTGGTAGAAAAGAGGGTGTCATAAGACAGATCTATGAAGTTCTGTTCTTGTTTTGGTTGAAAATTGGTGGAGTCCCTCTCTGTTTCTCCCTTTCTGTATCTGCCAAATTGCATGCTTCTCTATATCTTTCTTTTGGCCTGAAGGAATTTGATTTTATCTTTCAGTTTAATAGAGCATAATTTTTTGGGTAGCTTTGAAAGAATTTCTTTAACTTGTATAGGCTGAATTTTTTAAGGAGAGATCGTGTCTTGTCATCTAGTTTGAAAAGAGATTTTCTACTACGAAATCAATGAACTATTCCTCAATCTGTGAACTAGTTGGGACAATTTTGACAGCGTCTATTTTAGTATTACTACTTCTCTTGGATTATTTAATTTTCTTTTGGACGAGCTATAGCCCCTTGTTGTTTTGATCTCTATAACAATTGGTGAATTATAAAAAACCTTTTCCTCCTTTCCTTTTTATTTAATTGTAACCCTGGATATCTGAGAACAGTTGACTTGTTACCATCTCTTTCCTGTGCATCTGGTTCAGTTTACTGAGAACTAAAAGAATTGTAGGCACAACTCAAACCACTGATGGATCAACTTGCCAGAGTAAAAGATTTACCTGCTCCCGAGTTTGGAAGCCTTCAAGCATGGGAAGTGCGAGCCAATGCTGTGGCCCGTGGTGCAAATGGAGATAATGCAAATGACTCAAAGTCAGGACAAGGGCTTGGATTTGGTGGAACACCTATGCCGTTTGTAGGGGAGACAAAGGTTCTTTTGCCCAACTGGAAAAGGAAAAAAGAAATACTGTTGTTACAGTCTTTTACTTGGAAGCTCATCATTATGTGTTTCTAGTTGCTTCTGATGCTTCTTGGAAATGCAATGCAGTGATTTTGGTGTATATTCATGCTCATGCATCTTAGTTACGACTTGCATGTACATGAATTTTTCCAACACACACTCACACATCTGAACTGGATTTTAATGCACTAGTCCATACAGTGAGGTTGCACAACATAGCTTTTGCTCTGTGTTAAGTAGTCTTCTGATCAAATCTTGAAAACAACCATTTTAACCCCCCTCCTTTTATTGCAACATTGGAATTTTTCTCCCTTTTGTACCTGTGAACATCTTGGTTATTTGTTTATACTATATACAAACTTCTGTTTCCTTTCTCACTGATAACTTGAGTCTATATTTATCCTTTAGCAACTGCTTTTTTCTCAATAATACATTATGTAGCAATTGCTCTGAATGCTTTCAATAAAATATCTCTGTCTTTCCTTATGAATTTGATGGAGATAGTGCCCAAGTTATGTAAGATGTTGATTGAGTGAAATACACCCTGAAACTATTGTGTCATGAATTTAAACCACTTTTTGCTGTTGATTGCAGGTTGAAGTTGCTTTCTCTGGTCTTGAAGAAAAAGGAGATATCAAATCTGATGTTTCAGTTACACCAATGAAAGTTTTGCCTCCATGGATGATAAAGGAGGGAATGAATCTTACAAAAGAGCAGCGTGGAGAGGTCAAGCAAGAATCAAATATGGAGGGTACTTCTGCTGCAGCAGGATTATCTGATGACAAGAAGTCCATAGGATTTGAAGATGTTAAAAATATACAGGTTAAGGTCATTGCCTTTTGTATGGTTCATTACCTCTTCCTGCCCTTCTCTTATTCTGCCCTGTCCTTTCTTGCTTGAGTTCTCCATATGCTGTATATTGATGCTTTAATGCCTTTTTTTCTTCTTGGTTTTGGTAGGATGAATATATTAAGGCATATTATGAGGCTTTATTCAAGCGGCAAAAAGAGCAAGAAGAAGCTACCAAAATGTTACCGGAAACATCAACTACAGATGGAGTGTATAACACCTCTACTGAGCGCCAAGTTGGCATGAAATCCAAACGTGAAGAGGAGGATGAAGGAGAGGATGTTGAATGGGAGGAGGCCCCACCTGCAGGTAATTTTATATTTTATATTGTTCATATACTTCAATCTCTTAAGTGGTTGAGGATAGGAGGACTGTTCAAAGAAGTTGATAATGGAGGTGCTAGTGATTGAAGTTATTAGCTTGCTACATCATGAGGTTCAGCTCCCTTACCTTGTTCGTTGATGGGAGTTGCTGGTGTTGTACTGTCAACTGTGTACTGCTTTGCTATGAGCCATTCATGGTGCAACCGTAAAAAAGATACTATTATGCAAATTCTTTCTTGAGTCCTTATAAAATGGAGAGAGACCATAAATGGAACAAATGGATCAAAATGATATACTTTGTGCTGATCAGAACCTCTGGGGTTTAGCTGCTTTAAGTGTTGGTCTTATTTTTTTTTTGGTTTCCCGCAAATTCCAAAGTTTCCTCCTCTATGTCTACTTTAACAGCGAGGACAACACTTCTTCTCCTAATTGTTAAATATTATTCTGAAAAATTACCGCTAACACAAACTGTGGTATTTAAAAGGGAGCAGGGTAGAGGGGTTGGCCAATATTCTGAACCTTTGGACACACTGCGGTTGGGACAAGCTAACACAAGGGAGATTTTTTGGGTATCAAAAGATTTTTAAAAATAAAAGGAACATCTAGAACATTGAATAAAATGCAACTTGTCAAAGTATGCTAACAACTCTTCACATCTTTCACGAATTAATCTGAAAGAGCTTAGGCACATACTCACAGCACCTATAGTTCTGAATAACATACTCAATTTATACACTTATATATCATAGAGATGCCAAGAAAGTGATTACATACACAATTTTCTGTCCTGTTTGAATAAAACAACTAGTCTACGAAAGCTGAGAACTGAAATATATGGCCATGTGGGAATCCATGCAAGAGAAGGAGAGATATGGATAATTCTGTTTGAGAATACTTAAGGTTCCAGAGTTACTCGAGCCTTGACTTTCTAGAATGTAATGGTCTTTCAAAATTTTGTTACTCAATAACAGAAATCGATTGCAAATGCCATGCAATCTCTGTGTAGTTTATAGAAGTTGTTCCTGTAAACTGAGCAACATGTGTCGTGCACTTCGCACTTCCTAGGAAGTAGTAGTCTTAGACTATTAAGAGTGGCAGTAGATACACTTTGGATAAGGAGAAGGTGTAATGATTTTCCCACGAAGTTCAGTTCAGGTGTGTAGGTGAAACTTAGCGACCAGTTAGAGGGATCTTCTAACTTCTTATAGTTAGTATGATGTGTTACTTTGTTCTGCTTGCTTGATTAGAGTTTTATAGGTGATGATCACTGCTAAATTTTGTCTTCTCCCAATTTTTAGGCTCTGATTCTTCTTTCCTTTTCTCCCGAGTCCTGCTTCTTCATTTTCACTTTCAATTTATAGGTCGTGTTTGATTTGCTTAGTTTTGAAGTTCAACTATCATGTTCACATTGGGTATGTTTTCAGGTAATACTACAACTGGAAATCTCAAGGTAGACTTGAATGTTCAAGCAGATGCTTCTGAAGACGACAACGATGAAGAAGATGACATAGACTGGGAAGAAGGTTGATGGTCAAAGTAATTTTTAAGCTGCAAAATAAAAATGCAGACTGCCTGAAGTCTGCATGCATGTTTGTAGCTTCGTGAAGAGAGTACCATCGTCATCCTGACATGGGGGTCGTTTGGTTAAAAGAAACTAAGCTATGTAGGAATTGTGTAATACAAGGACTAATAACGCATTATTTTTATTGAGTGTTTTTTTTTGGCACTAGAAATGGGATATACAAGGTAAAATTCAAAATTTGGGTTTACTTTTTTAAATTTAATAGAATTTAAAGAGTACTGATGATGGATTTGAGGAAAAGATGGAGTGATTTTGTCTTTTGATGTTTAACCTATGTATTGTTATTCCATATTATATCAGGTATAGTTTATAATATATGATGGATTTAGGCGTTAGCAATGTAATGCTCACTTTAGGACTCAGGTACACATAAATCCTCCCATAACACTCTCTATATCTACCTTGTTTCCACTTTCAAGTTTCAACAATATTTTTAGTGGGAGCATTGATTTAATTTTGAAGTCCAGAGAAATACAGTAAGAAAGCATTAAACACAAATCATCCCATAAGTCTCTGTGAGGCTTTGTTATTGGTAATAAGTAATATCATAAAATAGTAACAAAACGAGACATTAAAGAAGCGACAAGAGGGGTTGCTTGGATGATAAACACTCTCCACCTCCAACCTGACGTTTTTGGGTTTGAGTCTCCAATGGAGCAACAAGAGTGGGAGAGGTGAAAAGAAGACGACGACATAAAAGAACTCTAAAAAGAATAAAGAATTCTATTAACTCTGATGTCTATCAAAGCATAAATCTGAAACTCTTCTCACACAGATGATAAAAGGAAGGGATCCCAAACTGCATTGTCACCAACACCCCAAAGCCCATTTTCAAACTGCAGGAACTGTTGTTCAGTTGGAACTGAAGCTATTTGTGTTAATCCATTCATATCGGGCATCATTATTGACCCATTTAAAGCATCTACTTCCCCAAATGTAGACAAATCAACCATTGGTTCACTAACTGAAACTGGCCATGTACAAGTAGAAGTAGTACTATTACCACCACCAAAAATGTTAGTGTTAATGTTATTATTTATAGTAGTACTAAATGAAACCTCGTCTTGGACTCGACTCATTTGTGGTTCTCCCCATGGTAATCGTCCTTGCTCGTTAGCCCACATTATCGCTGAATTTGTCCCACTATACCACTGGTTATCTTGACATTGTGACGATGAGATCATGGGCTGATAATCGTTCGTCATGAGGCTTATGTAATCAAGATTGTGATTTCCCCTGAACAAGTCATCAGAATAATTGTCAATTTTAGGTAATTTCTCAGTTTGTGAGGGTGTTTTCTTGATTTCAATACAAGGTAGTGATGGTTTAACTTTGGATGCTAATTGAGAAGTTGAATTAGAGGCATAAGCTTGAATGAAAGATCTTGAATTCTTGCTGTTAAAGAGTTTAGCTTTAAGTGCACCAACAAGACTATTTTCAGTTTCCTCTGTTCTGCAGGCTTCTTCAAAGTTAAAAGGCTCAGAATTTTCAAGAATATTACTACCTTGGTGGGAATCAGACGCGGGTAGTTCAAAATTAGTACGAGCATTAGCCCCTCTTAATGTGCGAGCAGCTTGATCATATGCCCTTGCAGCATCCTCAGCAGTGTCAAAAGTACCAAGCCATAGCCTCACCTTTTGTAAAGAATCTTTGATCTCTGCAACCCATCTTCCTGATGGCCTTTGGCGAACACCAACAAATCTTGGATGGCCCCTTGATGATGGTTTTCTTCGTGTTCTAATACGGTCACTTGGCTGGGGTGCTGGTGGCTTCATTATTGAATATGTTTGGTTGAAATTGGAATCAAAAGTTCATGGTAAGGTAGTCTGTCTCTAAGCTTGGTGTCTTGAACTGCTGAAGGTATAAAATGGAGAAGGTATCTTTGAATTGTCACAAATGGACTAGAGGAAATGATATTCCTCTGTATATAAAATTATAAACACAGAATGATTGTTGCAGGCCATGTTGGTTCTATCGACTGAAATCATAAAATATGAACGAATTATGGCAAGACATGGACGATTTTATATAGTTGTACTATGTGCTAATGCAGACGCCTCCAAATGTATATGTTGTTTTCAGAATGATGTGATCAATATAATTTGGATATTGTAGACATTCTGGTGCCCCTTATATACATTCAATGCAACAAATGGCAATTAGTCACTAGGAAACACAATTTTTTAAAAAGATTTCTGGTGAACTCAAAGACCAGATCAACTCTATAACTTGACTAGTTCTACAGGTTAGATAAATGTGAATTAATATTTATGTTGTAATGACAAGATATATGTATCAATGAGTACGTTAATAAAGTTTAAGGTTCATTCGATAAGTTATTGAATTTAATGTAACAAATAAGCAACATGATATGAAAATATGTGTTGGAGATATTAGCCTAGATTGTGCGTCATAAATAGTCCAAAGAACAATTATTTGGTTTAGTATTTGATTAAAACGTTGTCATATGAATGGCCTCTTCATAGGAGGTTCAAAAGGGGTTGAGAAGAGATTGATAAATTAAGTACCAAGGAATGGATCAGAAGACTCTGTTGGGCTAAAACGGTTCAAGAATACTCTTAATATAACGTGATATTATCCACTTAGGATCAAGTTTTTCCTAAAAGATCTCATGCCATTAAGTATATTGAACACCTCCAATGTGACGGACAATCTTCAAAGCTACGGGCAAATGTCGTAAACTGGCCCATAGACAGGCAAATACACTAACCCGAGCCTCATGCCACACTCCACCATCTTCATACTAATCCTGCCAAATCAGTGGTTCGATATTAGTTTTCTGAGTGAAAGTTGAGAGATTTAAATAAAAGTATTGTCAATTAAATTTGTGTTTTTTTTAAAAAATATTATACTAATAAAATAAAAAAAATATTAAATATTAATTAAAAATCTACATGCATCACAAAAAACCACGTGATTAGTTATTTTTAATTATAAAATCATCACATTTTAAATTATCTACGCAGCGCAACGCGCGGACACTTATACTAATTTTTAATAATAAGAGTGATATAATTTACAGAATATTCATTCAAAGTATTCATCACATAAGACTTCTTTTTCTTTTCAACTATCAATATGAGACTTTATTTTTGCGCGCACACAACTCACTCATGCTAGCCAATTTTTGAGGCAAGAAAAAACACAACTCCACTACTAGCAAGGTGGATGATTGTCCAAATTTCACCTACTACTTTCAAATGACTAATTGTTGTATAAACCACATAAATCTAAGTTTATGGAGAATCGATGTTTTTTGGAAAAAAACATAGTAATAGGGTCGATGAAATTAAGGTGAAACCGACAAAGAGTTATTACATTATATTAGTTATATTAAGGCATTCAAAAAAATTCAAAGTCGATTGCCACTTCCGAAAGAAAAGGCCTCAAGCCGCTGAGGTCTATTGTCTTCACCTGCTCCTAACACAATAGGAAAGAAGATTTGTCCCCTATCCTCTCATCACTTTAATTTTCGTGCTATTAATGAACAACTACAATAATATGTTCAGTCTAGTCCTTCACAAATGAGATTTGTTTCCCAACCTTTATAAGTAGAAAGATTATTTCTTATAGATACTCAGATCGAAAGAGAAGTTTTCGAAGCAGAATGATCCAAAAAAAAAAAAAAACACATGACAGCAAAATAGTCAGGCACAAGACGAATGAAACAACAAATTGTAATACATATTGAAGAATACGTTATTAATGTATGAAAGTACAATTGTATGTTGAAATAACGTTGGCCTACGTTAAGTAACACTTTCTATCAAGTCATATATGGTAACCTAAAATTAGAGTGATAACTTGTTATAATGAGATAAATCATAAAATTTTTTATTATTTATATTGTTGAAAAGTGAATTCCTATAATAAAAGGTATTTTCTAGAATACAAAGTGTTTGAACATAACTGGACTACAGCACGCGCATCAAAGTCCAAAATTAAATTTAACTTCCTTTCATTGTACTACTTGAAAGTTGAAATACCTAACCTTTGACTATAGTAATTTTGGGGAGATAAATGGGGATCTTGCACGAAGAAATTGCATTTAATTAATAATAAAACTATTTATATTACAAAATAATAATAAAAAAAAGTGCTCATAGTCCATGGACCTCACTTCTAAAATGGAAAATTATCAGAGAATTAATGTTCTCTCTTTAATTAGTGGTAATTAAAGTTGATATTGTTAATTTCTAGCATATCTTGACCAAAATATTCTCCTCCATTTTGTAATGATTTTTGTTGACTCTGTAAAAAGAAATTGCACATGAAAATTAAAAAGAATAAAATTAACTTAAAATAAATACACTAATCTTGAGTTTCACTAGTAATTGATCAATTTGTATAGTAAGCAAGAATAAATCAATGATTTCTGCTTTGAGCCTTTGATAATAAAGTTTTAGTAGATTCTACTAGATTTTAATTTTCTTTCTTCCGTGATTAAATAAGTAAATAAATGTCAATTACAATAAAGAGCAAAAATAAAAAGAAAGTCCAAAAATATTTCAATAAGGAATTAGTTCAATGGCTCTTTCTTGTCTTGTTTGCTACATGTATATTCAATGGCTCAAATGAAGAGTCATGATGTGCAATGGGCTTCTTGATGGCTTTCGCTGTTCTTCATATAGTAATTTCGAACCATGCTACTATAGGTTACACTTCGTACATTCGTAGTATCATTTTCTAAAGTAACAATGTTATGATGTCCTTCTAAAGAGTTTAAGTTATATATATTGTCAGTATTAAAAAATAACTAAATTTATGATTATCGGATCATCTTAAAAAACAACTAGCTAGATATAGTTGATTACTTGATTATGATAAGGAGTTAGTAACTTGGAAAATAGGACCACCAAAGAATGTAGTGTGGAGGATGGGGTTGTTCCTGTCTTAATCAAAGGTCTCGGATTCAACGGATTCAAATGTTGTGAATGAAAAAATTCTTGATCGAGAGCGCTTCCTCCCAAATAAAACCCTACACAAATCCAAATATAATCGAACTCGTTCATCCGATTCACAACTTTAGCTCAAACGTATATATGACTTGAAACATTAATCAAATATATAAGAATAAATTTCAATTTCAAACACAATAAGTCGAATAGGTTGTAAACTTTTAAGCTCGAATTTTATAAAGTGCGACTCTTGAATTTATCTACGTT